AGCTAAATTTCTGCTACCTTACATTTGAAAGCAGAAAACGAAGTCTGTCTCAAGCATCTTTTTCAAATTATGACGACTCGAATTTTAACACCCATATTTCATACTGGTCATTAAAACGATTATTTGTCCATGATAGTACAAACTCATCAGTTTAAAAGGATGCAAATAACCTCTAATCAGAAATATTACACGTATAACTTTGCGGGGAACCAGTAACAAGAACGCTTACCGCACATAGACATTTGAAACGAATATCCCACACCGCCTTCGAGTATGTAAAACATTCTTAATACGTTATTAGCATAAGAAAAATTTCAATGTTCCAATATGATCTTTTCTATATCACTTTCTTTAACTTAAAAAATCCACATAAATATCGAAAGGAATTGAGCTTCGCACTTAAGCCTTGTTGGACAGAATAAGTCAACTTTTTGTACTTTGAGATCCGAATCCGGATAGTGGCGGAAGCGATGTTAGTTACGGAAAGATGTTGTTCTTGTTATATTATGACTGGTACTCGAAGGTGGAAACAAGTTGGTTGGTGACAAGACTGATCGGGAAGTGAAATCCGAGGTGGTACATCTCAATACCTGCAAGCCAAAAGTAATCATCGTGTTTTCTCTGAACGACAGCAGAATGTTCCACTATCAAGCATCAGGATCATGCACCCGATTATCCTTCTTCAATACACAGCTTCATTTGGACGTTTTATTTTGGGTCGGTTTTTTAAGTCTATTTATTGATATCTTTAGATTACGTCTTCTAGACAAATTTGAATTTACATTGATATAACTTTGTATGGAACTAGGATATCCCATGGAAACAAGGAGTGAAAGGTTTAAAGATAATACATAACTCAAAAGTTATGGTTTTAAAGCTGTTTTTCAATCGTGTGAGGTTTATGAGAATCAATGTAATGATAACTTGAGTGTTCATATCATGAGTGCCAATGTGCTTAGTTCTGAAAGGTTTAAATTAAATAATGGAATGCTTAAAAAGATATAAGTAGAAAAGAGTCTCGAATCGGAAAAAGAGCTTGAGATGTTAAATATTTTAAACGAGGTCTAGTTTGTTGATTTGTTATTATGAAGACGTTTACGAGTAACTTATGGATAGTGTTGAGACGAATCCTTAGATGTTATGTTATTTACAGGATAATACTGGTTGTAACGTTGATTTGGGAGAAGCACTCAGAATTCCGAAAGGAAAGTGGGCTCATGAGGACAAGAATAAGTTGTCCTTTATTATTAATAATGTCGACCTACCTTAAATTGATATTAAGCACTTTAATGGACAGCCTGTTCAGTAACACCATTTTGTTAGGCAGGTTACTAGCTTCATAGTAAGCAAATTGTCCAACGAGAGTCAACAGTAATTATATTTGTTTTACTTTAATAAACGAGAACACAGGTGGGGACAATTAATGTACTTTAGTCCAAATCTATAGAATATCTTGTTAAAATATGAGGACCATACGCTGAATACTTCATTCGCGAATTCCCATCATTTATCCTCCAGTTCATGATTCATTTCTATTTTCGCTTCTGTTCTCTTCAACTCGATCTTCTTAGCCTTCTGCTACCAGGTTTTTCACTTCGGATTGGTGTTACATACTTCTAATGTATGTCGACATAAGCAACATACACCACAATACTACTGTAAAGGATAAGCCAGGACAGCCATTGAAACTTGCATCTCCTTGCCTTGTTGTTTGGATTATGACAGAGTGGGATAGATTCTGTATGATATATATTGAAGGGAACGTCTGATTGCCCGTAAACTAAGTGTAAATTGGCTTAATCGTAAATCTGTTTGGTGCTCAGTAGATGATATGGCTGACTTCACAACCAAGTTACGTAACGCATATAACACTGAGACAAGTGGGATGTGTGTCCGATGTAAACTGTACAGCTAATGTGGAAATAGTTGTGTCACGTTTACCACTGGATTTACAGGATAGGTGGGAAGAGGTTGTCGACAAAACCATGATGGCAGTTGTATATCATGTTGTTTTTGGAATCTCTAGGACGTGGCCTGTTATAGTGACAGTTCTTATAGTGTGTATAGTGTTTTGGAATGTTAACTGATCTAATCTGTAACATTATTATTCTTATTTGTTTATAGATATGGGAAGATGAGTATTTAAAATGGAATGAACCGGAATTCGGAAATGTAAGAACTTTGCGTGTACCAGCTGAGCAAGTATGGACTCCAGATACTTATGTATTTAATAAGTAGGCAAATTTTCTATATATTATTTTTCATAGTAAATAAATAATACACATAGGGAAAACTTTCAGTGAGTTTTCAGTTAATGCCCATCTCTACTGAACGCTACTTTCCTAGAATTTGTTCACCTGATTTCATGGGACTGCACCTCCTGACGTTGCTCCACTGACTTGTGGATTAGACCTTTAGATCAAAGGCTCCGGATGTGACCCCTTAAGATAACCACCTGTTTGGATTTGAACACCTGGACAGTATTCCAGCCTTCACACCAATCGAATGACTTATGACTTAGTAGAATTCCATATTTTTTGTTTTGTTTTTCAAAACTATGAGTTTGTCAATTAAATGTACTTACATGTCAGTTTGTACATTTCATTAATGGGACTTGGTCCATATATTCTGTAATTCTAAACAAGAAATATTTATTAGTCACTTAACTGATAAATGACTTATGGTAATGAACACTTCTAAGGAGTCTCGTACTAGGACGAAACGATCGTCCAGTGCTTCCAGGTTTTCCATGGTGGTCTAACTTCAATTGACTCATGAGCTAAATTACTAAATTACTGTAATATCCACGAAACCCTTCTTTGGTTATAGTCTGATTTATTGTTTAATATTAAAATTACATGTTGACATGTCTTTTAATCTTCTGAAAGTAAGCATATGACATGCGTGAACCAACCTTCGACCTCGAAAGACGTCATCGATGAATCTGTGGGAAGTTTGTACAGCATTTCGTAAACCGAACGGCATATGCAAACACCTGTATTGTTCGGCGATGATAACGGCTACTATTATGTCGTCTGCCACCATAAATTTTGGTTATACGCTTTAACCTGATCGATTTCGAAAAAGATGTCGCATATTCCATGGTAGCTCTCAAGTCGTAGATGTGCGGCAAGGGGTAACGATCGGGAGTCAATCGCCGATAACCACCAGTTGAACGGCATTCACTGCTGTCCTTTCTAGAGATCATGTGCAAGGGTTATTTGATGGCCCAATTGGTGTCACCATCTTGAAACATCGACTTTGGCGGCTAGGACATGTTCTACAAATGTCTTCCTAGAGAATTCCTTGTCGTACATTACTTGCCGACTTTAGGACTGGTTGGAGAAAGCGGAGAGGTGGTCAGTATATGACATGGTGTCGTGATATGAAAGAAAGCTGCAAAGGGGTGGTTTGTGTTGGTCCTTCACGACTCCCTAACTAGGGTCCGAGAGATAGAGCTACACAGTGGCTAGAGACGTTACTAGATATCGCTCAGAATAGAAGCCAGTGGCAATCCTGTTGTAACCTTTTTTTACTTTCTTCATAAGAAATGGACGTAACGTCTTTAACTGAAGGAGTTCCATCGGGTTGTTTTCTGCTAACTGAGCTACCTGTTTCATTATCATTATTGCACTCTCATACACTAATTTTTGTTCTTTGTTGTTCTCCTTTTGTTTATATGCATTTTACATTCTCTACTTCTTCACATCCTCATTGTTATTGTGTGGCACATATGTATTTGGTTCCCCTTTGAACCAATATTTGTTTTCAAACAAGAAAATGTGAATCTGGAATTTTGTGGCTATAATTTAGCTGGTCCTATCCCGATTTACGTTGTGCCTCACAAAGTAAAGTCAGACATCAAAGATTTGTTTATATAAGCAATTTTTTCTATTCTCCCTCGCCTAGCTCCTAATGGATGGATGGATGGATGTAAGTAATGGCGGTGTGGATCTGTTGCCTGGAGAAAGACTTCTCGACCTTGAGTATGCGGACGATATTGTCTTACTGTGCGATAACGCTCAAGCCATGCAATCCGCACTTAATCAGTGTCCGTAGGTTTGGTGTGTGCTTTGCACCTTCGAAGTGCAAAGTACTTCTACAAGACTGGCAGGATTCTAATCCTATACTAACCCTGGATGGTGAACAGATAGAAGTAGTCGAGAAGTTCGTGTATCTGGGTAGCTGCATAAGTGCTGGTGGTGGCGTGAGTGATGAGATCAATGCACGTATAGTGAAAGCCAGAGCGGCTTATGCCAATCTGGTCCACCTTTGGCGCCTTCTTGATGTCAGTCTGGCTGTAAAAGGTCGGGTCTACAACGCGTCAGTGAGAGCAGTTTTGCTCCATGCTTGTGAAACCTGGCATTCAGTTACCTTGAACATAGTACTAGACAGAGGTTTGACCTCCTGATCCATTTGTTTAAATTCTAGTACTAAAATCAATAACCCAACACTTTACTTCAATGGTTGTTCAGAAGTCTTTTACACTATGTCTTCTGTTCATAAGAAATAAATACGTGTCACTTCCAATTACTTATTTGCGATTCCATAAGCCGCTTATCCATCTTACTTTTCTACAACCTTGGGTTCGGTTTCGTGATTCTCTTGAGTGATTTTTATAACAAGTTACTATCATGCTATCTTTTATTTTTGGTGATTTTGATTCCTCAATACATCTAGTTCTTATTCTGCTGATGGGAAATTAGGTCATCCTCAGCTAATCTTTAAGTTTGCAGCGTTTGATCACTTATGGGTATGGTTGTTCAAAAATTAGATTGGTTGGAGAGGTTTTTGTTAATTTTTCTTGACTTTTCTCATTCGTAGTTTTTGATGGGAAGGCGTTTAATACCTATCAAGCAATTACGTGTCCGCACATAGAAACAATAAGCTCTTCATTTGATTGGATCCCTCAAGCTGTTCCCAGTCATTTGAGCAAATTACTTGCGCGTTTACATGGTGCCCCATTTGTGTGGTTCATTGGTCAGTTGGGTAAATTTTTAATGCGTCCATCGTTTAACTTCCCTGAAGAATTTAAAATATTCGACGATCAACATGAGAATCCAGTTGTTGGTATTCATGTCCGACGTACGGATAAAGTGAGTTTGTGTACTCTTATCATACAGTTTTTCATTTTCTTTTACTTAACTAGTGTGACGAAGTGATTATTTACGGTTAGATTTGTGAGTAAAATTACTAATTATAAAACATAACTCATGTCGATGCACAAGTTTCCCTAGCCATATTAAAGATATTTGACTACCGGAGAATTACTTCAATTTCATAGAACAAATCTAATCAGTGGTATACTAGAAAGGATTTAAACAATGTGGAGAGTTACGGTAAGGTAACTTAAATAGTATAGCAAACTGTGAACTGGGTGAAATAACTTTTACTGAGTAATATATCTTATTGGTTTACAGCAAACTGAAATAACAGCCGCATCATGGCAAAATGATAGTGGACAAAAAATATTAATCTGTTAAGTTTATTGACGATTTCTAACGAATTTTGAAATCGTTTGAGAATTGTTTCTTAGATGAAATGATTCATTTATTTGAACACATAAATATTGGTACAAAGGGGCAACGAATACATATGCGCTACACAAGTCACTTGATTTGTGTATGGGCTGTGATACTACCCGGGTGCCCAGACCGAAACAGGTGGTTTCCCTAGGAGGCCACGCCTCGAGCCTTCGACTTAAAGGTCTCATCCACAAGGCAGTGGAACAAAGTCAGGAGATGCAGTCGCATGGTAGCCGGTGGTCAATAATTGGTTCATACGTCATGAAATGAGAAATCAACTGTAAAGTCATTTAGATAACGAAGTGTTTGCTAGTTTTCTCTGCATTTTACGTGTATAAGTGATATTGCAAGGAAATCGGTTGAATGGTTAGTAGAATAATTTTTATCGTCCTCAACGTCGTGAAGAAGTATAAACAGCGAATAAACAGTGAGGTAACAAAATGATTATAATATAGGTTTATGAAATTTCGACAGGATGTGGGTAATTAAAGAAGCTCCGTAAAACTAATAAGCTAATATTGGGCTAAAATAAGAATGGATTTAGGTAATTTAAACGATTAAAGGTCCAGTTGGATTAGTCCCGAAAATCTTCAAGGATCGCAGCTCAGTTTTAACAGTTAGATTGAATAATATCTTAGCTAGAATTTTGGAACTGGACGTGATTCTATCTGATTGGTTTCAATCGCTAGTCGTCGCAGTTTACAAGAAAGGACAAAAACTATTTTGTGACAATCATCGAAGAATTAGTTTAACCAATATAGTGCCTAAAATATCAGCTTCAACTCTTAACCAAGGTTCGGAAAGAGCAAACCTGAAAAATTTAGTCTCGTTTCATACCTGAACATGGATTTATAGACTGAATACTTACTTTTTGGTAGGTTCTGGAACAAAAAATTACTTTTTGACGTCTGACTATGGTTGTATCCCTTGATATTAAGGCGGTATTCGACGCCGTTGGTCGTGAGTTTTTGTTGGAGTGTCTGTTATTGAAAGCCGTACCAAGGAAGTACATCAAGATTGTTCTGAGTCTCAACCTAAACGCTACTGGTCAAGTCGACTGTGATCAGAACTGATAATTTTAAGTGGTGTTTGTCAGGATTTTCCGCTTTTCTCATTTTTAATTACCTTCATCATAGACATTCTTTTGGAGATGACGCTCTCATCTAACGTTTTAGTTATTGATCTTTTACTAGGATATTTATTTGTTGACTTGGAATACGCAGATGGTATAGTTCTGTTTAGTGAAGACTGAAAAAATGCAGTCTCCTAACCGCCTTAAACAATAGTGAGAAATGTTGCTCCAGGATTGCTCTGCGACCGCTTCACTTATCATGAGAGTTTCATTAGTTTTATCCCGACCATGGTCGGGCTTGCCTATCGTGACGACCCAATTGAGCTATATTGGCTGGAACATATGTTGCTGTAGGTTCTACCATGCCAGGCAGGTCGATTGGAGAACGGTAAGACTAAAAGCAGCAACTCAAGGTCTGAGGGCGAAGTCGTACTGCTGACTGTAGAGGGTTGTGACAGCAGTAAGGTGTTTCCCTCGGACAACCAGCGTCTACAGCGATACCGCTTTCTCACAAGGAAGGAAGGGGTTAAAAAAGGTTGACCCTAAAAATGTCACACCTCACCTTACCTCACGGATTTCCGTCTCCGGCGGTAAGGCCCTTTGAAGAACGGAGCTAACACATTCAAAACCTCTCACGAAAAGGCCGTGCGCGACCGACTTCAAGCAGTTGTCCCGTGGGCTCTGCGGTCACGCTCCCAGGTCTTTTAGGCCAACGTTACTCCAACTTTCATGCAATTAGTTCCCTTTATGAATTTAAATAAAGCAAGAACAAATATTGATGCAGAATATTACGGATTCATAATATATACATATATTTCTTATCTCAATGTAAAATTCTATTACATATTTGGCTGTAAGCAGCTGACGAGAAACCTCGAAATATTATGAATTCATACTGTTCTGCATCAATGTTTGTTCTTGCTTTATTAATCAAACTTCCTTTTCAGGTTCCTCAAGAAATACCATTTCACGATGTTATATCCGAGCGAAGATTAAGTCACGAGTAACTTCTGAGACATATTAATTGACTAATATTATGGTATAACTATTCAATAATTAGATTATGTATATTTATATTCCCCTTATTATAAGCTTTATTTTGACCTATAATTTGTTATTGTACGATTTACTGTTCTTAAGCTATGTTCAGTTTATTGACTACTGTCTCCCACGTCCACAGCTACTTTTTGGCATTATTGTCTACAAATGTTATTTCTTATTTTATGGTGCGTTGCGGTCTGTTTGTTTGATATATAAATCCAGTATGTCTGAAATAAATGATTCGATTCGATTCATATTGTAAAAGCTGGAGTCAAGTAGACGGGCTAGGCGGACATAGGACCAATAAGGACGCTAGACCGTTCATACCGGTCAAACGTCATTGGTTTTGGCACAGTGTTAAGATTGTATAAGTCGTATTTTGATTGGTGGATAAACCACGTGATAAAAGTCGAACATAAGTCATAAAACACACGGTGTGGGCAGCCGGGAAGTGACATCAGCGCTCATACCCGTAACAACACACGAGGCCAAACTGGTCACATTCAAATCCTTCCTACACCTCCTAATACTGACCGACTCATGAGTTTTATTGGGCTGGTGTCTAACAATATCTACGCACGGATTCCAAATGCTCGACTGGTTTTTGACAACTTGTGTCACTTACATTGTAGGGGAGCTATCCTTTTGGCAACTAACGGGCGAGTTTACTGCTCAGCATTTCGATCCGTTTATCTGTGGGTGTGAAGTATGGCCATTAAAAATAGAGGATATTCTTAGGTTACTAGCATTCGATAGTAAATGTCTTTGAATTATTGCTCGTATGTTTTGAGACCACCGAATAAGGTGTTGGGGATAAGGAACTTGATAATGATGGGGAGTCAAGTGATGAAACAATAAATATCCACCGGTAAAGGTGGTTGTGACGTGTGTTACATATGGCCGCCCACTGTCAATCTCGACAGTGTCTGGTGTAGGAGTAGGTTGGAGGAAATCTAGTTGTGAACAGGTCACGACGTGACACTAGTCTGTGAAGTCATTGACAATTGGCCTAATCATGTAGGTAGATCTTGACTGCCTGTTTGGGTTCTACGTGATTATCGCAACCAACGGTTAAGGACTTTGAATGACATGACTCAAAATCTTTCGCAATTTCTGAAAGGCATCCATTCTTCATCTTCCCTTGGATTTCAAATTTCTAAATTCCACATAATTTTTTGTATTTCATCTCCATACATATATCTTGTTTTTTCTTACCTAATTTTTCTTAATATTGCTGGTACTGTTATTACTTCTAATACTCTGAGATTGATCTTGAAATAATTTTATCTCACTGTGCTAACGTGCTATGTCAACTTAAAGCGATTGACACATGTACCAGGTGCAACATTGTGTTTAGTTGTCTCACCTTCAGATTTTTCTTATTTTATTGAGTAATTCATGTAAGCAGCAATAAACCTTTCGGTCCTAGTATTAGGTGGTTAACATTTGACCTACTCGTTGGTAGATACCTTCTATAGTTCGTGAACAAGTTACTTTTTGTGAACCTTAATGAATATGAAAAAGCACTGTTTCGTCTAATCCTTTCGTGATTTATGTGAATAAATTATTAAGGTAACCCCTTTCTTAACCATTTCGTTTTTTTTGTACGATTTTAGATAAATACTGAAGCGAGTTTTCATAGTTTAGAAGAATATATGACTGAAGTTGAGAGCCATTTTCAATTCATAGATGCCAAACGTCAAATGATGTCTAGAACTGAAGTAAGTATTTAACTATTAATTTTCATGTATATTGTAACTGTTTTATTGTAACCAAGATTCATCGAGAAATGACTTCACCTTATCCACTGGCCATCATGTGAATACATCTGCGAGTAAAGGCTTCTTAGTAGTTTTTCTTAGCTTGTAGCGTGGTGTCGAGTCGAGATTAACTATGAACACCGCTACCAAGAAACACGTGCCATGTAAATCAGAAGGCGAAGGTTGAACTTAACCAGATTTATTTGGTTGGCGATTTCGTGGTATTGAACGAATACCAAGATCGTGCCAAGGAATGGTACAAGTGGAAGCAGGAGAAAGGAGTACGTGGGAACAGTACCAAAAACCGCGGAACAATGATGGAAGGTAATGGAAGCACAAAAGGGCTATAATTAGCACAGTTAAACAAAAGCACATTAAAACAAACACTGGTACAGTTGGTCATAATAATAGTTGGTTTTATTAAACCCGTCGTGTTCTCGTGATAAATGTGAGTCACTACAGGAGCCCCCCGCTAGAAAGGGTTTACAATTTCGATAAATAGCGGTTTGAATCGTGGGACTGATCGGCTGACGAGTGATTGTAGGACGGAAGAATTGGCGAACAGGAAAGCAATCGTTGATCGTCGATTTGCCGACGAAGGTCTTCTTCGGAGAACGGTACCAGGAGCGATGTACTGTATTTGTTGCTTGAGTTGGCATGCCACACCAGAGTGGTTTGTATCCAGAATCTGAAGATTGCGTTCGTAGGGGTCCGGACCAGAAACGCTGCAGACGTAGGACGAAACCACGTTGAGCCGATGAACCAGAAGCGACCATAACGACCAAGTTCGAGACCAAGCGTATACCAAGCTTTCGAAACCAATATATCGACTGAGTGCGTTGACAAGTGCGTGGATAGCCAATCCAGCTTTCGCTAAAGTTGACTGAAGTCGACGGAACCAAATGGAGATGGTCGAAGGCGTTGGCTCAGGGAACAAAAAGAAAATCAAAAAAAGAGAAGAGTTTAGCATGCGTGTAGCATAGGAATAATCCTACACCGTATCGGTTGTTGACTGTGCGGTCTGCTGATCTGGACCTGAGACTGTCGTCTCGTCCGTAGACGGTGCAGATGACGCGTGCTGTTGACCGGGACGTGGGAATGAGGTCTCAGGTGTATCTAGCGTAACACCTGAAGATGGTTTGAGGATCCCGCTAGTAGGTTTGATAGGTCTATCATTGAATCTCAGGTTATCAGATAGGGCACTGTCATCGACGTGTGCGGGTTTGAGACGATCAATGCTGACGATCTCGACGCGGCCGTGTCGATCAACCTTGAAGGTCTTTTCATGACGAGCGATCACGCGAAAAGGGCCTTCGTAAGGTTGTTGCAAAGGTTTGCGTACCGAATCTACTCGTATGAAAATATGTGAACAGGTAGATAACTCTCAGGGAAGAGCGACCTGTCGATGTTGTATTCGAGTTGACACCGGAGACAGCGTTCGCATAAATGCAGACAGTCGATGGACGTAGTCTGATTTACCGAAATTAGGTCTGCTCCGTGGTGTGAAGAATTCTCCGGGCAGACGCAATGTCGTGCCGTATACAAGTTCAGCGGCGGAACATTGGATATCTCCCTTTAAGCTCGTTCGAATACCTAAGAGGACGAGCGACAAGGCTTCGTACCAGTTGTCGTTCTCGTGTGCTCGAAGAGCACTTTTAAGTTGACGGTGAAACCTTTCAACTAAACCATTTGAAGCTGGATGGTAGGCGGTAGTGCGTATGCGTTCCGTACCAAGCAGCCGAGTAAGTGAGGAGAATAATGCGGACTCAAATTGTTGTTCTCGGTCAGTCGTGACAATCGAGGGACAACCGTATAGAGCTATCCATCGTTCTACGAAGCGGTGAGCAACTGTCTCCGCCGTGATAGACGTGATGGGTATAGCTTCGGGCCATCTGGTGAAGCGGTCGATGCACGTGAGTATGTGATCATACCCATGCGATGGTGGCAGTGGTCCTACAATGTCTAAGTGAACGTGATCGAAGCGAGCATCAGGCGTAGCGAAAGTGCCAAGGGGACGGCTACGTGCCTGTGCACTTTTGATCGTTGACATTGTAAGCATTGCTTAGCCCACATACGAACATCTTTATTCATGGACGGCCAGACGTATCGTGCAGCGATGAGGCTGCGATATCTGAGTGAGATAATCCATGCAGGGCATCGAATACGAGACGGCGATAAGCAGCGGGTACGATGGGTCGAGGAAGACCTGCAGACGTATCACATAGAATGGTGCCAGAAGTCGTGGCTAGAGGTACTTCCTGATACTGAAGGGACGTAGAGTGTGGTGCTTTTGTACAACTGGGATCGTTTGCTTGGGCAGCGGCCATAGCAGGAAGATCGAGCACCGGCAGAGTAACTGCCGGATTCGTGATAGAGCATCGGCAACACAGTTCGACTTGCCTTTGATGTGACGAAGGTCTGTCGTGAACTGGGAGATATAGTCCAAATGTCTGCACTCTCGTGGTAAGTAGCGATGAGACTTGGTATGCAAAGCATACGTTAAGGGCTTATGGTTGGTGAATAAGATGAATCGACGTCCTTCTACTGCGTGCCGATAATGTTTGATGACGCAGTAGGCTGCTAGCAGCTTGCGACCGAAAGCGCTATACCTCGTCTCCGTGGTAGTGAGGCGTCGTGAGAACAACTCGAGGGGTTGCCAACTACCGGAGATGTTTTGTTGCATGACTGCTCCTATAGCAACATCGGATGCATCAACCGCTATACTAAGCGTGGCTGACGGATCGGGATGGGCGAGAAGAGTGGCTTGGGCAATAGCCGTTTTGATCTCTGTGAATGCAGTACGTGCAGAATCGTTCATTTCTAATCTGCGTGGGTTGCCGCGAAGTAAGTCGGTTAGTGGTCGTAACCGTTCTGCCGCCTGTGGGATGAAACGACGGTAGAAGTTAACCAAACCGAAAAAAGCCTTCAGTTCCTTGAGTGAGGACGGCACGTTGTACTCCTTTATTGCCTGCACTTTGTCCTCACAAGGTAGAATACCCTCTTGCTTGATAACGTGACCCAGAAATATTATTTCTCGTTTACCCAACTCGCATTTGTCTGGGTTAACTACTATTCCATTATCCGAAAGGCGTTGGAATAATAGCGTAAGATGTTGATAATGTTCATGTACGTTTGACGATGCGATTAGCAGGTCATCAATATAGACGTGAACAAAATCGAGGTCTCGTACAATGTTATCGATAAACCTTTGAAAAGTTTGAGCAGCATTCCGTAATCCAAATGGCATTCGTAGGAACTCAAACAAACCGAAAGGAGTCGTGATAGCAGATTTTTCGATATCTTCAAGAGCGAGTGGGATCTGATGATATGCTCGTACCAGATCGATCTTAGAAAAGATAATCGTGCCCTTGAGCGATGCCGTGATGTCGTGTATGTGGGGGATGGGGTAGCTATAAAAGCGCGTAACTACGTTTAGAGCTCGGTAGTCGCCACATGGTCTCCAACTAACCCCATCTTCTAAATATAAGTCTTTTCTTTCATAGATATTCTTGGATGTAATTTAGGTCCATCGTATACAAACATGAACCATATCATACAATAAACAAAGCTGATTGCACCTTTTATGTTATAAGAAAGTTTAAGAATAGGCAAACATGAATGTTTAAAAGCACCAGTTTGTTGCTAGATCAACTGATCAAATAAATTTATATTTGATGTCGGATATTCGAAGGAGTCAGTCAGCTACAACGTAGGACTAGGCACATATATGCATTGGTCCAAGTTGCCATACCTCATTAACACAACAAGATGGACACCGGATTCATAGAAGTATTTAATTCAGAGGTGGTAATATATAAAAGAAAGATTGCAATAAGGATACAGTACGGGAAGAAAGATATGAAGCGATTTTAATCTCTCAGTTTAAGGGAAGACAGAGAGTGTATACACCGACGCCATTGTGATAGATTCTGAGCCATATCACACAGTCTCCAATCATTGATTATGATAGTCACGCGGACCCCAACCATGTAGTCTGCATCTCCCAACATGGCCCAGACTAGAAGTTAATGACTTCAAGCAGATGAGTGAGTTATTGTTTGGTACTTTAGATATCGATGTGGAATGCCAACAACAGATAGCTTTCTATTTTTGGAATGATGCTTGAATGCACATATCACGTCATATTTTACAAATTACACACCACACTACACTACAACACATGGAATAAACGATACACAAAAAAAAACAACAAACAAACACCAATCATACAATTGTGCAGTCAATATATATCACATCAAGACCACAGGATATGTGTATAAACATTTGCGTGTATACAATGAAGTCAGAAAAGCATACGCTCCACAATACTTGCCATATATATGTAGATCAATTTCAACTTGATCTGTAAAGTCTTTAGCTGAGAGCATCGACGCTACAATAAAAAAATGAGGTTCGATGTCTTTCAAATATAAAACCATAAATCAGCAAGTTAGTGGTACAAAGGAAAGAAGAAAAACATGAACGAAATAATCTTCCTATTTAGAAAAATACAATTATTTATAATCAATAATAAATTCAGACCGATTTCCATGTGCACCGATCATAGGAGCAGTTATTAATCTTGGAGAGAATTTAAATGCTGGTGCCATTACTTTACGATTAGTATTCAATTTTTCAACCTTTGCGTAACCATTCCAATGATTACCATGGAAGTGGACTAAATCACCAGGAGATAAACCATGTTCTTTGCTTGATATTAATACTTCATATGGTGAGGCTTGTTGTCCACCGAAGTAATATATATCATCCAATGAACGAAATTGTTGACTTGCATCACCTAATTCTAAATGATTAAACTGCAATAGTTCATTGAAATCAATTACAAAGTTTGCTTACTCTCACCCTTTCTCTTTTTCCTGGTTGTAAGCAGTTGAATTTTTATCGAAATTATGACCAGTATCAAGTAAATGAGTCAACATACAACTTCTTAATTTCTTTTGTCTTGTGGTCAACCATGAGTGGTGATGTTCACAAATACGAGAATGTATTTGGCTAGTTGTTCACCCAATAATTACTATATTGTTAATCTGACAAAATCTAATAGTTATTTATTAAAATTTCAACTTTGTATATTAATGTTATCATGATAATGTGTTCCTGCTGGGAAAAATTAACGTGTGAATACAATGTTCGTTGGATGGAATTTTAAAAAACCTTTAAGTTATAGCATATCGTTTGTAAATTTCATAATGAAATCATTGCCACAGTTAGACAAACTCACAAATCATAACTGTAAATATTCAAATAACTAAGCAAAATTAATCAAATAGAAGTTAGACCACCATGAAAAACCTGGAAACTCAATTGTATGTTTGACCATTATATTGAATGAGTAACTGAATGATAAATAGATTAGAGTTACCTTAAGTAAATCAAAATAATAATAGAAAGTTATCTTATTTTGATTGGTTCATTTTGTTCCTATGTGATAATAAACACTACTTTATAAAATATAACTAAAAGGAAAATAGTGACCTAATTAATCTTATGACTACAATTGATTAATTGACTACATGAATCAATATTCATTTGTAAGAAAATAGTGTAAGCAAGATATAAATAATGAGTTGTTGGAAGCTTCTCATTACCAGTATATATTAATTATGAATATTCAACTATTATTATTATTATTATGAAACTTTGGTATTGTAGTGCATAAGTAGTATGTAATGACAATCATGAGTGGAGAACGTAGCAACAGAAGTGTATGAAGGTCAAGTGAAAGAAGAACGAAAAAACAGAAACGCAAATAGAAAGAAATTGTGACTTGAAAGAATGTGAAGGTTAAATGATGGAATTTTACAATAGAATTATTTAGTGTATAGTTGACCTTCATACACTTCTGTTGCTAAGTTCTCCACTCATGATTGTTATTACATACTACTTATGCACTACAATACCAAAGTTTCATAATAATAATAACAGAATGGGTTTTGTGGAGATTTTAGAAATTTCACAGATTGAAATCATGATGCCAGCTCAGTGGTCTAGCGGTTAAGTAGGTCCAGTAGGTCCTGGGTTCGAGCCCCGCGTGGTGCGGGATCGTGGATGCGCACTGCTGAGGAGTCCCATACTAGTACGAAACGGCCGTCCAGTGCTTCCAGGTTTTCAATAGTGGTCTAGCTTCAACTTACTCATGATTTCAACCTGTGAAATTTCTAAAATCTCCACAAAACCCATTCTGATAATAATCAACTGCTCACTAGTGACTGACTTCAGGAAAAACTCATGACGTTCTAGTGAGAAGCCGTTACCAGTGGAGTTCAACCAGGTCTGTTGTGAGATAGTAACTCACTGAAGACAATGGTGTACGGTGGCGCAACTTCGTGAATTGGTTGAAGTTAGACATCAACACCGTTGGATGCCGGCTCAGTGGTCTAGTGGTTAAGTGCTCGCGCGCGAAGCCAGTAGGTCCTGGGTTCGAGCCCCGCGTGGTGCGAGATCGTGGATGCGCACTGCTGAGGAGTCCCATACTATTACGAAACGGCCGTCCAGTGCTTCCAGGTTTTCAATAGTGGTCTAGCTTCAACTGACTCATGATTTCAATCTGTGAAATAATAATAATAATAATAATAATAATAATAGTTGAATATTCATAATTAGTATATACTGGTAATGAGAAGCTTCCAACAACTCATTATTTATATCTTGCTTACACTATTTTCTTACAAACATATTATTTTTATTTATAACAATCAACCCAATGCTCAATTTATTCGAAATTATCAAATCAAACCTTGGTAATGATGCCTATAAGTAATTAAAAGTAGTGTTTTTTAACTATTACTAGAGGTCATATCAGTTCTTCACTTTTTAAGACTGTTATGTGATGAATAATATTTCTGAAGTTAGCCGTAATGAGACAGCGGAGATATTTATTGACCGAGTAAGGATCATTTCTTAATAATGGAGTGGTTTTGTACCAACCTTGAATGAACCGTAGTTGTAAAGGTGCTCCACATACTACTATGCACTAGTTCAATTTATATAAATGTTCACAAATTTAATTAAATTTCTTTTAGCATGTGAAAGTACTTCTTATTATGTGGAGTCAGTCCATAGTGTGAAGCACATGAAATTCACTATCCTTTATTGTAGAAAACTAAGCGAACACTTATTGTTTATGAACAGGGAATTATACTAACAAAATGATGAATAAATTGTGGTACACCACAGGTTTATTATTATTATAATGGCTTGCTCAATGTTATATTTTGGTACATATAGAATTTTCAGCACAGGGTATTTCAACAGTTACTTTAATGCAAACAAATAGTACAAGCGAAAAAAATTTTTAAAAAAAAATCTGAAAAACAGTACACATTTAAAATTTAAGTTCATGTTAAGAATGCAGGTTATTGGCTAGATTAACTCTACAACCTGTTCGTCACAGTATATTTGCTAGATAAGGTTATTATACATTTGTACTTTTCCTTGCGTGCTGGATTTTATG